GGCCCCATACCAAGCCAATATCACTGGGGCACCCCAGATGGAGCAGGTGCACTCACCCCGCCTACTCCAGATGGAATCCTGGTCACCAAGAGTTTCCACAAGCAAGGCCCATGTATGTAGGTTCCAGGATTAAATCTCCATGGACCCTGGCAGCAGAGGCACCTGGCTGTCCCTCCTTGGTTCCTCACCCACTCATCAGCTTGGCTGTTATCCCACAATGTGCCACTGGGTGCCACCTTAGCGCACCAATAACCCTGGTCCAGAGACACAGCAGCAAGTCCCAGAAGATAGTACTTAGCCGGAGATCTCTCCAGACCCCACAACAAGCCAATTTTACGGGGGCACCCCAGATGGAGTAGGTACAGTCTCTTCACCTACTCCTGATGGAATCCCAGCAACCAAGAGGTTCCACAAGCAAGGCTCAGGTATGCGGGTTCAAGGACTAAATCTTCATGCTGCATGGTGGAATAGGTGCTAGGTTGTCCCTCCACTTCTCCCCGCCTTCTCATCAGCCTGGCTGTCCCCACACAATGTGCCTCTGGGTGCCATCTTAGCACACCAACAGCCCTGGTCCACAGATGGACAATTTAATTCCAAAATAGATTAGTGGCCTATAGAATGTCTCCAGAACCCAACCATTTACTATCTAGGATTCCAGAAGCACGTGACTGCAGCATACAGGACTTCCAAAATGAACAATGTCTTCATTACATTTCCTTCTGAAAGAAAGGATTGGATACCTAGGGATAGAATATAGTGTCTATTTGGGATATAGATGCTCCTTCTGTGTGTTTATCAACTTTTCAGACTGAGTTCTAGGTCAGCATAAGCATGAGACAACAAAAAAAAATATCAAAATATCAGAAATACATGATTATTAAAATAAGAATTGATATATATGCATATGCAAGATTGTGTCGATTTATTATGCATTTTATATTATCCCCTGTTTGTTTTTAGCACTTGAACCACACTTGATAGTACTCAGGGTTCATTCCTGGTTCTGTGCTCAGGGATCACTCCTGCCTGAATTACTGCCTCCTGTACTATCACTCTAGCCCATGCTCTGTGTTCTTGGCACTAATACCACACAACATTAAATTTAAGGCAAAATTTCTTTAGACAGAGTAATTTTGTTTTATCAGTTTTTTGAAAATAGGACACCAGGTCTATTTACTCGTATGAAAAGTAGAGTGTGATTTAAACCTAAATCAAAACTTGGCCATATTTCACCCCGCACCATCAGAAAATGACCTCCCTAAAGAGATAACAAGCCTTTATATTTCATTTTACCAATATTTTAGGTTTTTTTGTTTTTTTGGTTTTTTTGCTTTTGGGTCACACCCGGCGATGCTCAGGGGTTACTCCCGGCTCATGCACTCAGGAATTGCTCCTGGCGGTGCTCAGGGGACCATATGGGGTGCTGGGAATCGAACCTGTGTTGGTCATGTTGGCTGCATGCAAGGCAAACGCCCTACCCACTGTGCTATCACTCCAACCCCAATATTTTGTTTTTATGAATCACAGTAAAAGATGCAGAGTTAAAATAATTCTGAGAAAAACCTAAATAGTTAGCTTTTCTGATCTAAGCAATTAGGTACCAGTGTGATTTCGCTTTACTTAAAATTTTTCAAGGGTTAGCGCTGAGAAACCCTTTGATTTAGACCACATAACTTGAGGAGATGATGATTGAAAAACAAGTCTAAGTAGCAGAGCTTCGGCTACTAATTCAGAAACGCTGATTCATTCTGGACACCACACCAAGCATTTTTCTAAGACCTGTATTTCTTAATTTTTTTCCTGATAGAGGAAACTGGCAGAATAATAATTTAATCATCTTAGAAGACTATAAGCATATGTTTTGCAAACATAGGAAACATAGCAAAGTTCAAAGGAAGCTATAAGCAAACGTTTATGTCAAATTGCTGAACCATCTATGTATTCATGCCAGGCAAATTCCCACATGTAATTTTTAAAGTTTTAGTTCTTTTCTGAATTGAACTTTTCTGTTGTCAGTGTTAATTTTTAACTTGATTGTAAATCTACAACTGTACCTCATGGTGTTTCACTAATAAAAATAAAAATAAATAAAATAAGATTTTTAACTTGAGGTTTTAAAGAATAGCATTTCTTGAATACAACCCTTTATTCCGTATCTCACCTATGCCATGTTGTATCTTCTTGTCCGTTTTCACCAGTTACCTAATCTCTTTCACTTTGCCTATTGCTGCATTATCACTCTCTGTACCAAATTTCATATTCTGCATAAAATGCCCTTCCTGCTGAAAGGATTAGTAGATTTCTGTCCTTTCTTTCAGATCTGGGTTCAGATATTACCTCTTGGAAATCGCCTCTGCTTCTTCCTAGTATTTTTACTTCTGTTTTCCTCAAGGTGCAATATTAGGGATCAACACAGTGCAACAATGATAGAGACAAAGTCAGGCATCCTAGATATGTGAGAGAACTGTCTCTGCCTCATTTCAGTTGATACCTCTCTTTTTCCCAATTTACCATTCATTCATTTTTTAGGTTTTCTTATAAGTAGTGTCATCTTTAAACATGGGCAAAGTTAGCAGTCTTACTTCCTTTAAGACACAAAACAGAACATTCTTACTGCCTCTTTAATAGAATTTTCAGTTTGAGATATTTCAAAAACTGTGTATTCAGTACAATTTTCATTATTTTAAATATCTGATTGACTTTGTGTAATTTTCCTCATGTAAGCATGCTCAGAGTAAGCTCCAACACAAGTATTATTTGTATTATTACATACATATATACCCAGAGTTTTTGGTGCAGTTCTGACATCTGGAGAGAAATAAATTTTAATTCTTAACTTTTCAATAATAAATATTTTTTTGAAGTGAACCAAATCTTGTGTCTAATTTCCTTAGTAGTAGTAATGGAATAGGATTCAACTGAAAAAAGAATACAAATTTTATGTACTTCTGAGAAAAATATCATTAAACAAATAAATGCACTTTCTCTGGATGTTGATATTGACATTCTCCTCAGATAAGAAAGTTTCTAGAAAGAACCAGAGAGATAATACAGCGAGTAGCACACTTGCCTTGAAAGTAGCTGACCCCAGTTGTATCAGTTCCTAGCATATGATCCGATACTGTCCCCCAGCACCTCTAGGAGTAATTCCTGCGAGCAGAGCCAGGAGTTACCCAGGAGCATTGACATTTGAGCCCCCCAAAAAAGAAAAAAACTTATCTAGAGAAACATTAATTGCTGCAAAAAGTGCATATAAATTGAACAACAGTGCATACTGTTTTTGAGTTTAAAGAATTATCAGGAGGATTGACCAGGGAATTTTCTACTCATTTGTGAATTCTAATTCTATGCTAAAAGAATGTTTATTAGTTTATAAAAATTTTCTTAATATCATTAATATCCTTTTCTTTATATTCCTAAATTCTGAATTTCACTTTTGTGAATATCTACAATTGTAATGTGGATTAGTATGAAGAAGGGTTCATGTATGCCATTTGTAGAAATTTTAATAGTAATATAGCCCTCTTTACTTGCCATGTATTGATTTGATTCTGTAATACAAATCTAAGAAATTGTTCTAGGTTTTTTTATTGTTAGTGTTTTAATAGGGAGTTAAGAATAAAAATGTTTTAGATATGCATATGTTGCTCAAACAATGATCATGTACAAACTATTCTCCTTATTTAAATGGAAAGTACCAACTTTCAATGTTAAATAAAAGAATGAAAATCCACTTTGTTTGGAAAACCATAATTCTGATGGTGCTTTCCTCTTTTACACTTATCTGAGTATAAATCAGAGGGCTGAGTGAGGGTATCCCAAGAATAAAATACACAGCTACTTTTTTATTTTATGAATAAATGCATCTCAGAACACATCAAAAAACAACAAGATGAGAAAAATAACGTGAGAGGTGATTATGGAAAGGATTCACACTACTTCCTTCTCTGTGATTCATACTGACAGCCTGCAAGGTGAATTATAACACAGAAAAAGCAGAATTACAAAATTCACCATGACTTATACCCTATAAGTACACCATGCTTAGGCCCTATAATAAATAACCCGAATGTTTTGCAAAAATATTTCAACAAAGCAGAAAAAGCATGATTTCAAAATTCACCATGACTTATACCCTATGAGTACACCATGCTTAGACCCTATGATAAATGACCCAAATATTTTGCAAAAATATTTGAACAAAGCTTTCTAATCACAAAAAGGGGCCTTTCAATAATAATGTATTCACAGAAAAATGACTTTGTTTTAAAAAATGGTTTCTTTTACATTCTTAGTCTAAAATCACACCAAACAGGGGACAATCTGACTCCGAATATTTCTTTGTGACAGAAACTTTCATCTGGCCATATCAATGTTAATGAGTATCCAGGTAGACAAATACAAATATCTTTATGTATTCATTCACACTGCAATAAAGCTCATCATTTACAGTCAACATAGAACAGGCACAACTAAAATCAGTGCATCTACAAAAAAATTGGGGAAGTGGTGCCTGACACGAATATTTTTCTAAGACTTAGAACTCTAATGTGATTTCTAATTCCATTAAGACGTGTATTTGTCATTTCAAAAAATATTCCATGCCTTAGAAACAACTGGTTATTTATTTCTGAAATACTTTAACTTATTATTTTCTTTTACTTCCTGTGTGTATGAGGGGGCAGCGGTGGGGGGAGACACCTGAGAGTGCTGAGGGTTTACTACTCACTTTGTGCTCAGAGATCACTCTGATGTAATAAAGTTACATTTAACCTTTTATTTTAAACCTTAAAATATGTTTTTATTTCTTTTTGGATCGCACCTGGTGATGCACATGGGTTACTCCTGGCTCTTCACTCAGGAGTTACTCCTGCCGGTGCTCAGGGGACCATATGGGATGGTGGGAATCGAATCCGGGTCGGCCGCATGCAAGGCAAACGCCCTACCCGCTGTGCTATCTCTCCAGCCCCTAAAATATGTTTTTAAGAGAAGAAAATTATTTATTTTTCAACAGAAACCGTCATTATCCTACTGCACAGTTTGCCAATGGCATTTTTCACTTCCTTATTTCTGAAAGCATAAATCAAAGGATTGAGTAAAGGAGTTAGAATAGTGTAGAATATCTCCACGATTTTGTCAAAGGAGAAAGAAACTGGAGGTCGTGCATACTCAAATATACAAGGAATAAAGAACAAAACCACAACAGCAACATGACATCCACAGGTAGAGAGCGCTTTCTTCTGACCTTCACTGCTGTGGTGTCTCAGGGAGAACAAGATAACCCCATAAGATACAAGCAACATAGAGAAGATCAGGATGCAGATGAGCCCGCTGTTGGCCACCACCAAAAGGCTAAACATGTAAGTGTCAGTGCAGGCCAGCTTCAGTAATGGGTACAAGTCACACATGAAATGATCAATGACATTGGGGCCACAGAAAGGCAGCTGGATAGTAAAGAGAAGTTGAATAATGGAGTGGAGAAAGCCCCCTGTCCAGGCTACCCCCATCAAAATGCCACAGAGCCTTGAATTCATGATGGACGCATAGTGCAAGGGTTTGCAGATGGCCACATACCTGTCATAGGCCATGGCTGTGAGGACAATCACCTCTGCTCCAGAAAATATGTGTCCAGCAAAGACCTGCATCATACAACCTCTATAGGAGATGGTTTTCTTCTCATAGAGACAGTCTATTATCATTTTTGGGGCAATAGATGAGCTATGGCATGCATCTAGTAAAGATAGAAAAACCAGGAAGAAGTACATCGGGGAGCCCAGGAGTGCTGCATTATTGGTGATGGCTGCCACAATTAGCAGGTTGCCGCTGATGGTTGCAATGTAGACAAACAGAAATATGACAAATGCAATTTTCTGAACATCTGGATTCTGTGAAATTCCCAGGAGGACAAACTCAGTGACAAAGCTTTGATTTTGCATAATTTTCCAGAAAACACTCAAAGCTGCCACGCTGACTATAAAAACCTACAATTAAAATGACAAGGTTACATCAGAGAAGTTTATTATCATAGGTACTCACAAATTTGTCTTTCCATGTGGTGCTTTCTATTCTGTGCTTCTTTCATTTTTGGAACCAGAAAAACAGAAAGATCTTAAAATGCAATAGTGCAATATCAGTGGAAATTCATTTATTCATCATAAAGTAGTGCTAGATAGAGAGTTTCTCTAGAGGAACAAACCCAAATGTGACAGGATTGGGAACCTATTTTAATTTTTGTTTTCCAACCTAGATCACTTAGTTATGGTTTCCTAAAGTAAGTTGTTAAAAGAGATTTTGAAGCCATATCTTAGTTCTGTGTGATCAGGACATCAATTTACTTAACATGTTGGGCACCACATTGTAATAACAGGCATACAGATTCAATATGTCCCTAATCAGAATGTCTTATCAAAAAAGGGAAAAAGATGTCATGGCACTTTAGAATCATAGCTCTTCTCCCAAAATTGCTGGATTTGACTTAAGTGATAGGACTTTTAAGATAAATTAGTCAGGCCATATGAAAGAGAACTGTTATTAAAAATATTGAGTTCTATAAATATACAAAGCACATTACAAAATAGGTGAGAACTCATAATCCAGCAGAAGTCATACACTGACTTCTGCAGAAGGTCAGGGATTCCAGTAGGCCAGGGATCCCTCTTTGAGCACCAAGGCTGTTATATAAAGTGCAGTACAAAGGCCATAGTCCTGCTGGGATTCACACAACCTACAGAAGCTTGAGGTCCCTACCATAGCTACACACTGCTTCCATACCCCTGCAGGTGAGACATTTGCACTGAACTTGCACTGCAGAGGCTTGGCAGCCTCCAACCATTCCACACTTATACTAGCTTTTGCATGATACTACCCACAATCACCTACTCCCACAAAAAATGAACAAAGTCAACCATGGTAGTAAGAAATCCTAGAACCCTAAACTACAGCTGAAGTAGTGACAGGGCCAATGGCACTAAAAGTTTCCCAGGATCCTTGCACAAAATTCTAAACAACTGGTGAGTGACAACCAAAAATGTCAGAAGAGCTCCAATAGGGAAGTATCTTTATGTGATAACTAAGGGCAATTCTCTGTTTACCCAGAGCATGCCCATGCAGGAGAACACGAGTGATGAATGACAAAGATGCAATGCTAGACTGCAACAGACACAATGAGGAAGCAGCAGCAAAATACCATCACATTTGCAGAATGAAGATAGCCTGGACAACTCAATTGGATGTAGAACCTCACAGATAACGACTATAGCTAGAACATAATGAGGATGCTTAATAAGATCGAAGAAAAAGTGCTACAGGTATAAGAAAGCATAAAAACAGAAATTAAAAACTGTAAACAGAAGTGACAGAAATAAAGAGTTAGGTTAGAGAACTTGAAAATCAAATGAAGGCCTTGTAATCAATTACTATTGATGAACATAGATGTGAAGATTCTCAACAAACTATTAGTCAACCAAATACAAGATATATCAGAGAGATCATTCATCAATACCAAGTAAGATTCATGGTTTAATATACTCAAGTCAATCAACATGATACAGCACATCAATATAAGAAAAAAAATACCCATCTTACAATATCAATAGATGTAGAGAAAGCATTCAAAAAGATGCAAACACATTCATGATATGCTCTCAATAAAGTGGAATATGAGAGAAACTTCAATAGAGTTAAAGCTAATTACCACAAGTTCACAACACACATCGAACTCGATGGTGAAAATTGAAAACCTTTTCTCAAATTAAGTCATAAGACAAGGATGCTCACTCTCATCACTACTATTTGATTTAGTGCTGGAAGTCCTTGCCATAGCAAGTAGGCAAGAAAGAGATATTAAAGGCATTCAGATTAGAAAAGAAGCCAGGCTCACTGTTTGCAGAGACATGAAACTACACTTTGAAAATACTAAAGACCCTGCAAAGAAACTCCAAGAAAATGAATATTTTTATCTTTGAGTAGCAGACTGCAAAATCAATGGACAAACCGTGGCTTTTTCACATACAAATAATAAAACAGAGTGAAATGTAAAAAATTTAATCCCATTCAGCAGTTTTTCCTCAGAAAAACTAGTTCCTGGGAATAATTTAACAAAAGAGGTAAAGGACTTATGTAGAGAAAATTATAAGTCATTACAAAATAAAATAAAAGGACACAGGGAAATGGAAACATCCCTTCTTCATGGGTAGGAAGTATCAACATTTGTCAAAATGGCAATCTTCCCATTTTGATTGATCCCATTGAAGATACAATGTAGTTGAAATAGAAATATTCATGATGCGTTTAAAAATGTTTAAACACATATTTCAATTTATAATATATGTTTATAGATTAAATATGCCTGGAATTCACATGGAATAATGAGTCCTGCTGAATAAACCAAAGAAATCACGGGTAAAAATAAGATAGGAGACTTCGCTTTCCTCTACTTAAAACTATGTGCAAAGCTATAGTCATCAAAACAGTATGGTATTGAACTAAGGTTAGACTTTCAAGTCAATGTTACAAAATTAAAAGTCGAGAGACAGATCCTCAAGTATGGGCACACTTAACGTTTATAAAAAGAGAAAAAATGAAGTAGAGCAAGAAAAGTTTCTTTATCAAATGGTGTTGAGATAACTGGTTGATCACACCATGAACAATGAAAATCAAAACAGATTAAAGACCTTGACATAAGACTTGATCCATCAATTGCATTGAAGAAAATTTAGGTATAAAATTGAAGAAAACATAAGCATGAAAGCAAATGCTATCTTCAATAACTCAACACCATTGGCCAAGTGAACATAAGCAAAGATGAATGTGACCATCAAACTGAGAAGCTTCTGCACCACAAAAGAAACAAGGACAAGAGAAAGAAGACAACCCACAGATAGAGAGAGACTATTTTCACATTACTTATCACACAGATGATTATTATCAAAATATATAAATCTCTGGTTGAATTTTACAAGAATAAAACAAACAGTGACACAAGTAAATGAGATACAGAGATACAAACAGAAACTCTCAAAAGATGGCCAAAAAGCATATATATCACTTGTTGTCTAGAAAATGCAAATATAAACAACAATGAGATATCATCTCAGACCAGTGAAACTGCCACACATCACAAAGAACAAAAACAACCAGTGATGTTGGAGATGTGAGGAAAAAATTCAGTGTCAGTGGAAACATTTACTGGTCCAACATTTTTGGAAAACAATACTGACACTCCTTAAAAAACTAGGAATCAAGTTACTATATGAACCAGCAACTCCACTACTTGATATCAACCCCAATACCAAAAAAAAAAAACAGAAAGGACATTTGTACTCCTATAGTTTTTGCAGCCAAATATGCAATAGCCAAACTGGAATAAACCCAGTGTCCAAGATCAGATAATTAGATAAAGAAACCATGGTATGTATACATAATAGAATTATAAGAAAAAATAAAATCATGAGATTAGCTGCTACATGATGAATCTGGAGGGTATCATGTTGACTGAAGTTAATCCAAAGGAAAAGAACAGACACAGAATGATTTCTCTTATATGTGGGATATAAAGAAATATTGTAGGGGTATAACAAATATCCAGCAGAAAAAATGAGAAGTAATCTTTGGTAGTGGGCCCCCAGGGGAGAAAGCAGGTGGAAGGGGCAATGAGGAATTAGCTAGGAGGGAGCTGATGCTGGGAAATTCTTGAGAAGGAAGTGGACATGACAGGTGGGGTGGGGGGGAGGGTTGGTGAGGATTGCCTTATGCATGAAATCTTATCATGAAGAATTGTAAACTGTGGCACCTCAAATAAAATAAAATTAAATAAAAATATGAAAAGGTTGCATCTATTACATGTTGAAAATATAAGTGTTTTAAAATGCTACTGTCAAGAACTGTCCTCATTTTAAGTTTAATCATAATAGTAAAATTATGTAATTTTACGCCGTGTAATCCCATCAGCGGCCAAGACTCAGAGACTATAAAATCCAGATCCCGGATGAGAACAGTGCAGTCTTCTGCCCCCGCGCCTGGGTGTTCCTTCCTGGGGCTCCTTGGAGGGGAGCGGGTTGAGCTTTCCTCCCCGCCCCGACCAGGGCTCCGGCAGCCGAAGACCTCCAGGACCAGCCACCACCATGCTGAGACCACTCTCTGCACACATGAAGGTACTGGCAGAGGGACAAAGCCACGCGGGTTCCGGGGCCGAGACCTCCAAGCCTACTTGGATTGGAGTCGAGCATCTTCCACCCAGATCCTCCAAATTCCAGTAGGCGTGGGTCACACCCACCACCTGACCCCCTGGTGCCGTGTAATCCCATCAGCGGCCAAGACCCAGAGACTATAAAATCCAGATCCCGGAACCTGACATCTTATCAGAACTTTTTTTTTTTTATGACATCTTATTGTCTCATTCCTACTTTGGACAAACTTGCAGGCTATCGAATGTAGCCTGCCCACAGGCGTACCAAATATGCCAAATACCAGTAACAATGATGGGTCTCATTCTCCTAAAGAGCCTTGAATATAATCTCAGGGCTAGGATGAAAGAGACGTTACTGGGGCCTGCTCGAGGCAATCGATGAATAACAGGATGATGAAATGAATGAAATGAAAAATAGTAAAATAATTATTAAAGCATTATTGCCTAATTAACTACCAATGTTACACCTTCTATCCATATTTGCCTGTAGAAAAGTTATCATTTAAGGTATTATTACAAACAAATAATTGTAATAATACCTTGTTGATGTTGATTTGGGATTCAAATATAAACCTTTACTTGGCAAGTCCAGTTCATGCCTACTGTGTCAACATAAACAGGAGCAAGAAAGTATCCTTTCTCAACGAAAAAATTCAGAGAATGGGTGACTGTTCTGTTTGTAATTCACAAATAGAAGTTAAAGAAGTAACAAAGATACATAGTAAGTGTTGTGTGAATGTTCTTTTGGTT